GATTAATCTCCAAAATATAACAAACAGCTCATGCAGCTCAATATTAAAAAAACAAACAACCCAATCCAAGAATGGGCAGAAGACCTAAATAGACATTTCTCCAAAGAAGATATACAGATTGCTGGGGGTGGGGGGTTGTGTTGGGATGAATTGGGAGATTGGGATTGACGTGTGTACACTGATGTGTGTAAAATGGATGACTAATAAGAAAATAAATAAATAAACATTAAAAAAATTTTTTTTTAATTTTTAAGTGGAAAAAAAAAAAAGAGCAAAACCTTGTCCTCTTCTCCTACCACATCCGACTGATAAGAGCAGGCCAACTGAAAACAGATGCTCCTTGCTGAGCAGGGGCTCTGTAAGAAATCCATGGGGAGATACAGATGAGCTTTCCAGAGCCAACACTCACCGCAAAAACCTAGCTGTTCTAGTAGGAATGTCAATTTCTTAAATCTGTATCTACTGTGACTACCTTTGAGCTTGGGACCACCAGCTCATCCTTTGTTCTTACCCTTCAGGGTCTATGTGAAGCTTCCCAGTGGCCTGAGTAATAAACTTTCAGGCACGTATGCTTTAATAATAATACATCCCTCTCAGAGCTACACAACTGAAAGGTGTTCCTTCAACAACAGAAAAATTTATTGCTTTCTTCCCCCACAGAAAAACCACAAAAATATTTTCTTCTTGCCTTCAGCAGTGAGTTCCAAGTTTCATTAGAGAACCGGCCAGATGCTTCCTCCTAGCTTGTATGGGAAGAAATTAAGATAAAGGGCATTTGAAACTCTACCTCTGCACACCTGCCTCATACCTTATTCCCTCATGACAGGTCTTCTTCCTGTTTTCCCGGGGTTGGGGATGTAGAGCTGTGTATGACCTGCTTCCTCCAGCAGCTGGGGCTCTGGAGCCCCCCTGCCCCCTTTCCTTCTGGTTTTAATAATAGATGGCTCTTATTGAATTGTGCACCTGCCATAAACCAGACACTGCACTGTACAAATTGTTTCAAATTCTTAACCCCCAAACTGGAAAAGGGCTGTAACCTGAGTGTCTGCTGCCTAGACAGCCCCTCTATCCATAAAAGCAGACTCTATCTTTCTGTCTCTGTCACTAAGAATCACTTTGCTCCAGTATATTTGCAGAAAGGGATGGGTCTCTCATCTCCAAAGCCGGTCCAGGCTGCTGCCTATGCCTCTGCTTTCACCTGCCCTTAAACTCCACACTCAGCCAGGGTCTCTGCTCGCTGGAGTGTGGGTCTTGGCCTGTGTTCCGGGACTGCCATCTTCCCTGGACATGACACCGATGGTGCCTCGGGGATGTGGTAGGCAGGACAATGGCCCCCAAGAATGTCCACATTCTGGAATCTGTGAATATGTTACCTTACGTGGCAAAAGGACTTTGCAAATGTGATTAAGTTAAGGACCTTGAGTTGGGGAGATTGTCCTGGAATATCTGGGTGAACACGATGTAACCACAAGGGTCCTTATAAGAGAAGGAGAGTAAGAGTCAGAGAGGGAGATGTGACAATGTAAGCAGAGGTCAGAGGGATGTGAGGAAAAGGCCAAGGAATGCGGGCTGTGCTTAGAAGCTGAAAAGGGCAAGAAAACAGATTCTTGCCTGGTGCCTTCAGAAGGAATGCAGCCCTGCAGATGCCTTGATTTTAGGTCTTCTAACCTGCAGACCAGTAAGATAATAAATTTGTGGCATTGGTGACAGTGTGTTATACCAGCCATGGGAAACTAATACAAGGGACAATGCAGGGAAGCCACATTTGCCTTTGTTGTGTTGTCACCTAATTCTACACCTCTAACATGTATGTGTAAGCCACTTCATTGAAAATTTGGGGATATGTAGAAGGGGAAAAAATCTGAATATTAAATATGATTGTTCCCAGAGGCCAAGGGAAGAAGAAAAAAACCTTAGCAGGGTGTCTTCATAGGCATGGCCCATTTCCTATCTTAATGACCAGCCCCAAGGCCCAACCTCTGTTTCTTCTTTTCCTCTGTGAGCCTACTTTTCTCCATGGCAAAATTCATTCATTCAATAAACGTTTACTAAATACCAACGATGTCCCAGGCACTGTTCTAGGTGCTGGGATTAAAGCACACAAAAGACAAAGAATACAAGCTATCACTATGTTTACATTTTAATGCAACCCCCCAACCCGGCCCATGAAATCCCCACTCAACAAGATCCAACCCAACCTTACCTCTTACCACAAATAGGATCACCTGTAAGGTAAAGATACTCCACAGCCATGCATTTCTCAAAGTCTGAGTTACTCAGTTAGAAGTAATGCCATGTAGTTAGATGAGGCCCAGAACAACCCAAGGGAGGCTTCATTTCTCCAGTTCTTGTTCTCTTCAGGGTCCCTCTGCCAGCGTGTAGTCAAGATACCCCTCCTCATTCTTCCTGTGATCTTCTGATTGCTTGTAACTCTCAGATATCTCTCTCTCTCTCTCTCTCTCACACACACACACACACCAAAGACAAACCATTAGTCTCAGTCCAAATCCATATTAAGGAAGGGAGGGGAGAATCTTCCAACACATATTCCAATCTTCCCACATATTCTCCCCAACTAAATCTAAATGGGGGCATGCCTTATTTTTGTTATGCAAAGCACCTCCAATTCCCCTTTTCTCAGCTCCCACCTGTAGACTATGCCCAGGGCCTACCCGTGCACTAGAAATGCTGCCCATCACGGTACCTTTCTAAACAGAAAGACCTCTACTCCTTACATCATCCCCTGCTACGCAGAAACTCGGTAGATGTGCCTTTTTGATACATTGAGCCACATTACATTCCTACCTATGATTTCCTCCACTCACAGATTCCATTAGGATGTGAATCTGCACCCTCTGTCCCCCATCCATAGCAAGCCCTCAAGAGTTGAGACTTTCCTTCTAGTTATAGAAAGGAACCCCCAAGGGAAAATACCTTCTTTTCATAACTGATACACAATCCTCTCTTCCTTCTCCTCTCCTATGGTCTTTTCCTAACGAAGGATGCACAGGCACCATCAAGCAAATACTTTTGATTAAAGCAAATGTCAGCTCTCTGGGCGCTGAGGAATTTCAGAAGGAAGAAATGTTATTGGTAAAATCCAATTAAGCTTACCACCATTAGCTGTGTAATGCTGGTTGCAGAGTAATTACTGTAATAGAAATAATAATGCATTGATTATGTGTTTACTGGGTGCCAGGGACTTTACTGAATGTTTTTCTTGCCTTAGCTCATTTAGCCCTCATCAATGAGTTTAGGGTGATTTTTTTTTTTTTTTCTTTTGCGGTACGTGGGCCTCTCACTGCTGTGGCCTCTCCCGTTGTGGAGCCCAGGCTCTGGACGCACAGCCTCAGCGGCCATGGCTCACGGGCCCAGCCACTCCGCGGCATGTGGGATCTTCCCGGACCGGGGCACGAACCCGTGTCCCCTGCATTGGCAGGAGGACTCTCAACCACTGTGCCACCAGGGAAGCCCCAGTTCAGGGTGATTTTTATCCACATTTTACAGCTGAGGAATTTGAGACTGTGAGGGGTTAAGAAAATTGCTCCAAGGTCACATTGGGAATTGGTGGCCGAGCTGGAGTTCACAGAGGTTCACCTAACAGTCACTGCTGTGCTGTGCTTTAGTGACTGGAATCCTACCCAGGGTAGTATCTTCTATCTCCATTTGCATTTTTAAGTGAAAATAATAAAGGAGGAAAGGAAGGAAAGGACAGGTTTCATGAGCAAATTTGAGCACCCTGAGAATTATAGATAGGTGAAAAGAAACCTGAAGCCAGGAATCAGAAATACTTTTTAAATTACAGCTAATTGAGCAATGGTAAGTTTGGAAATTTGTGGTTTAGAGTCAAGAGTGGTGTAAGGACCAGTGGCAACATTTATTTTGAAAGTGTCAAGAACTGCCACCTCCATTTAGAAGCTTTTAATAAATGAGAGTCTAAAATACTCTAAAGAGAATCCCAGCAGACACTACAAGCCAAGAATCCTTGGCTCACAAAATAATGGGGGCTGCTTCTTCCCAAGTTACCATGCACAGAAGCAAAACTTGGCAGAATTGGAGACAAAGGATTTTGATCTCGTTCCTACCATTGCAAAACAAACCACTGGGTTACCTCTACTGCCACTCCTTAGTACCAAGACTCTGCTAGGCACTATTTGAAAGAGAATCCCATTTAGCTCTCTGCCCAGGGAAATCAGCCCCTCTGGAGGCAGCCCCCCAAAGACCTAAGTGCAGAATATCTTCTACCCCTATTCATTTTCTGCAGACTTCTGTTTCTTGAGGAAATCTTCCACGTGTAATTGAGCCGCTACTCTGACACCATTTTCATTGAGTAACTCGTGGTGATGTCACACCAGCTAGGCACTAGGGGAAGCCCTGCTTTTATGGATTGGCTCTTAATTTAGGAATTTTTATTTTCTGACCTCCCTCTCTTTTTTGCTGGACTCCACTGCATTCGAGCAGGATGCCTGAGTGATGAAGTGTTGCCTGCTTTTGAGAAAAGGAATTCCTGCTCGTTGAGAGGCAAATGGTTGAGTGAAGGCAAGATGTGAGTCCTGTAATAGTACATCTTAATTGGAGAGTTGGCAAGAGAGGAAGGATGTGTAGGCCTGGTGTGGGCTCCGTTGCTCCTAATGGGGTTCGTGGAGCTGAGCTGAGAAGATGGGTGGGGGACGGTGGGACTCACAACCACCCCCTGCTGCCACTGTCCTGTGTAGCTGGGGAGCCGACCGCCTCCCCCGCTGGCACCTGGGCAACCACATCTAACCCGCAACACACCTTCCTCCCTCGCCTCTCTGCTGCTCTGTGCAGCGAGCCGGCAGAGGCAAGCTTGGCAAGCCTCGCCTGTAAAAGCCTAATCCAAACAGCATGTCCGCTGAGCTCAGCGGGGTGACTCATGTGCAGTGATGTGTGAGGCCAACAAGTGGAGATTAGGATCTGGCCCGCCCGCCAGCCTACCCTGCACTTCCTTTGATCAACTCTGATGGTTTTTAATTCTGCAGAAGCAGCTTCCTGCCAACGGCAAGTACCTCTTGGTGGAGGTTGGAGCCATGTCGATGCTGCCCTACTTGTCGAGGCCGGCGTGTGCTGACGGCACAGGGACTGACACTCTGGGCTCACAGCCCACATGGAGCCAAGGGGGGAGGCTCTTTCGCTGAGGTGCCCATGGTGACATCAGAAGCTTGCTCCTCAGCTAACACCGGGAAGGCCACGCGTGTGAGCAGCCCAGCTTCTGAACCTGATCCTGGCGTTGGTTAGACTCACCGGATAATAAAGAAAAATGGGACTCTCTCTAGGGGACTCTTTTTTTTTTTTTTGGTAAGCTGGGGCATCTCTAAGGACAGTGTTTGGCACAAAATGAAACACTCTCTGGGCTTTTCAGAAGTGCTTTTTCACATCTGTTTTGCTCTAAATGGAACGCATTCGAAGTATATTACTTTCTTGAACATTTTTTCCCCCTGCTCGAGTGGAATGTGTCTGCCTCTTGATTCTTCCAAATCCCCTCGATGACCAGTGCCAGGCAGAGCCCCTGAAATCAGGTCTCATTCTCTCTCTTCCCCTCTCGACCTTTATCTTGCTCTCTCCTTTCTCTCGCTTTTCTCAGGAAGTGGAGGAGTGATTCTCAACCTCGGCTGTAAATTAGGGAGACCCTGGGTAGGGGTGGGGGAGGTTAGGGCTTTAAAAAATCCCCAATGCCAGGCTCCGTCCCAGAATAATTCACTCAGAGTCTCTGAGGGTAGGACTAGACACCAACAGTGTTTAAAGCTCCCCATTGTGCAGGCAAAATTGAGACTCATTGGAATTTAGGGTCACATAGCATAAGCTGTTAGCCCTAGGAATGCTTCCTGTTTCCGTCTGTCCTCCCCACCACCGTTCAATCTGAGAGACTTCCGGAGACTGGTGTATACTTTAACCAGGTTAATGGAAGGTGCTACCTAGATGGGGTAAGTAGCCTACCTATTAGGAAGAATCTGTTCATCTGATTAAAAGTATTTACCATCGCACTGAGACTTATCCCACAGTGATGGAACACCAGGAACTGAAATACAGAACAGACAGATCTTACAGGGAAGAAGTAGGGGATGGCTCAGCACACACCACAGTGACCAGCCCAAGGGAATTTCTGGGAGACGGGTTTGTAGGTGGTGGTGATGGGCTGTGGGTAGGGCTTCCGGATAAAATAAAGGCCACTAGTTAAATTTGCATTTTTTGATAAACAACGAGTAGTGCAATATTGGGGACATACTTAACACTAAAAAATTATGCATTGTTTATTTAAAATTCAAATTTAATTGGGTGTTCTATATTTTTTTTTTGCTAAATCTGGAAATCCTAGTTGTGGATGGCAGACCAGAGAGGAGAATCTTGGGAATTTGAGGGAGTGGTAGGTCTCACCTGGGTGGTTACTGCCCTCCCGGGGGCGTTGGGGAAAATGTGTAGGAATTTGGGGCTGTCCCAATGACTGGGGATTGCTATGAGCATCTAGTGTGAACCAGGATGCTAAAGATACTGCAGTATGTAGAATAGTTCCAATGAAGAATTATCCCATCTAAAATGCCAATATAGTGGCTAGACCAGTCCCACCCTTTACTGAGGACTCACCTGATGGCCTTCACATAGCTTCTCCTAGAAAGCAATGCACTGGCCTCTCAGAGAAGTTCAGAAACTGTCCCCAGGAAAGAGCCAATCAGACAAATTCCCAGGTACTTGCCCCAATGTTTCCTGTAATTCAACCAAACCATACAGCTGGTCCAATGAAATGAACCCCTGAAACTAACTCCCAAGCCTTCAAAGCTTCCAATAAGTAGTACCTCCTTCGGGAAGCCTTCCTTGACTGTCCCAGTTTTCACTGATCTGTCTCCTCAGTCCCGAAAACCCTTATTCTTCTCATTTAATACTTGAACATATTCTTCTAATGGTTGCATGTGTCTAGCCTGTGAGTCTCTCCAAGGGGACATCAGGGAAGTGAGATCAAGTTCTAGGTGACCTTGGTCACATTACTGATTTGGTGGTTAGTTTTGCCATTTGTTACACTTTGCCTGTTCTTTAAAAACTGTGGGGCTTCCCTGGTGGCGCAGCGGTTGAGAGTCCGTCTGCCGATGCCGGGGACATGGGTTTGTGCCCCGGTCCGGGAAGATCCCACATGCCGCGGAGCGGCTGGGCCCGTGAGCCATGGCCGCTGAGCCTGTGTGTCCGGAGCCTGTGCTCCGCCAACGGGAGAGGCCACAACAGTGAGAGGCCCGCGTACCACAAAAAAAATAAAAAAAAAAACTGTGATGTAGCTGAAATTAAATGTACAAATAGGTGAGGCAGTTCAAGTAAAGATGAAAGGGGAGACGAGAGACCACACAGAAGGGAAAGACCAGGAGCTGGAGATAGATAATTTTGTAAATGGGTATTAAATTTAAGTCCAGGTTCCCTGACAGTCAAAGCAAAAAGGGAAACACAATTGGTTATGTCACTCCTATTGTCTGAAGAAAAGGAAGCAATATTAGCTCATGAGGAAACAATCTTTTTCCTCATGATAAATTCTAAATGAAATTTATCACATAGATCCTAAAAGGCAGGACACTGAGAAACGTAATGGAAAATGTCTTTAACTGAGTTTTCAGAAGATACCAAAAATGTGGGTGGTTTGTGTTTTTTTTCTATTTCTTATGTTTACTTTGTAAGAAATTTGGGACTCTAGTGTTGGACTTTGGCTCAGTGAAGGCATTTTTATAAAGAGTTAAGCCAATATATCCTATTTTTTTTCTAATGATCTGATTAATAAGGGGGAACTCAGACGTTTTCAGCGGCCCAGAGCTTTCATAAAGGCTTCATGCATGGCTCCCCCAGGAGCTCTAACAGCCTTAAGGAGAAGGTGGGGATGCTGTTAAGAATCCAAGTTTGTGGTGAGAGGTAGAGGAAGCATGGCTGGGAAAAGCTACATTCCACTGCCTACCCAACCTTCCTCTCCCCAGGCTAGAAGCAGATGGTTGGAAGTACCCACCCTACCCAGGAGGCACCTCCCAGCCACATCCCCAGGAAAGCGATAAAGGAAAACAGTGTGTCACCAAGGGCCCACCCCAGGGGCCTGAGAATGGCTTGAGGGACTGCCTGACCCCGTATATCATCCTTCAATAAGTGCTACACTTTGGGGTTAGTTTGCCTCTCTTCTAAAGGCAGGGAACAAATAATCAGATGACTCAAAAAAGAGTTTCCTTTTTTGGTTTTATTTGGGGCTTTTTTGTTTTTAAACCAACTTGCTAAATGCGTGGTGGGCTAAAACAAACAAATGGAAAATAAGCCACAGATTAACCCCCCCACCCTGGGCTGGGCAACATCAGTAAGAGGAAACTGTGGCCTGGGGCTTTGAGGGGTTGCTGATGAGCACACATGTCCCCTCTCCCTAGCCACCCACCCCCATCTCGGATGCCAGCCCTTGTGCTTGGCGGCTAACAGTGACAAAACCAAGATGAATCACCACGTGTCAGGATCCATAAATTCTCAAAAGTCTAAGCAGCAGGTCTGAGATGAGAGATCAAGGCCAAAAGTAAATATCTTTGACACATGCTTTTGTTTTCAGATGGCGGCAGCTTGGATTTCCTTCCTGCTGCTGAGAAAAGCATGGCTGGAGTAGGCGGAGCCGATCCAGGTGCACGTGGAGAGGCTGCTAGAGCGGGAGGGACTGTTCTTCTCACTCCCAGGGAGCCTCTCCACCGCTCCCTCTCCCCTTCTCCCTGAGGCTGGGGGGAGGGGGCAGCCAGGGAGAAGTGTTTCCCTTCTTCTCTTAGGGAAATTCAGTCTGGTTGTGCTGGCCTTGCTTGCCTAGGGTGCTTGCTTCTAGGTCAGTGGGTACTGGCCTTAGTGCTGGCATGTGTATACTGAACTCATTTCTAACCCTCTGGCAGGCCAGTGTTGACTCAGGCTCTCCCCTTCACATGGGATTATAGGAAGGGAGGGAGCTTAGGATCATTTTTGGCTACTCAGCATCTGAACGCCCTTCCCATGTTTGGGACATTTATCACTTCATGAATCTCAGTGCCCTAAGAAAGAGCTTTCTATTCTTCTAGAAGTCTCTACAAGAGACTAGTCTCCTTTGCAGCTAGGACACGGACACACAACCAAGACTTGGTCAATCAGCTGCACTTGCTCCAGATAGTATCAGAAGTTACTGGCACCAAAAAACAGGGACATTGGAGAATCCTTTCTGGGGGAGGCTGCAGGGCAAAAAAATATCCAGGCTCCCTGTGCCCATGGTGGTATCTAGTGTCCAGGGCTGAAGATGGTGGCAGTGCAAGCGGAGGTGCAGCCCCAGGCAGTGGCTGCAGGGGTACCCTCATCTCACCTTTTCTAGGCTGTGACTGTACCTGTGGCCTTGGATAGGATCTTAAGTTCCCAGTTCTTGTGTGTTCTGAGCCTGTTTTCCAAGCTTCTCAGTGATTATGAGTTACTCCATAGCTTTTCAACAAATTCCTTTTCTGCTTAAATCAGTTTCTGTTGCTTGCAACTGAGAACTCTGACTCTGTCCAGCTACAACTGGTTTCAGTCAATCATCTGCAGATGCTCTTTTTTTTTTCTTCTTCACTGCCTGCATTCTTCAAGCCTCTGTCCTCCTGGCAATTCCACAAGTAATCCAGAAAAGGAGGAATGAGCATGCAGAGAATTTGACCACAGCTGGGAAGTGAGCCAAGAGAACCCTGAAGTACTTGAATATTAGATCCTTTACTTTGTTAGGTGGGGTAGATGCGGGATTAATGAGACAGAAGGCTGTCGGCTGTTCATCTTATTTTGTTTTTTTCATCTCTAACTTGGTTATACAGTGATTCCCTGTGGCACTTACAGATCTCATGAGGGCATGGATCAAGTCACCTTGTTTTCCCTAGCATGCAGGTCATACAGGATACTCAGTAAATAGTAGTAAAAAGTGACAATGGAAGTTTGAGAAAGAGATTTCAGGAAAAAGAAGCTACATATATCCTTCATGTCTCTTTAAAAAAAGAACTGTCTCAACTACGTGGGAGCTGAAGATTAAGGCTGGTGAGTAGAGCTAGCACTGCAGACATTTGGTGGTGCTGATTGAAGAGCAAGAACCTGTAGCTTTAGCCATCAGACTGTCAGAGAGGGAGACAACACACTCCTAGGCAGGCGGAGCCTAACTTGGATCTAGCCCAGGCAGAATGCTGGTCCATTCCTTCTTGGAAGGGGACCCCAAGAGTTCCTGCAAGTTCAACTGAGATGGCTCTCCAAAAAGCATTTTGAATCAATTTCAAATGTGTTGACAGTACTTGGTTGAAACCCCAGAAGAAGGTTGAGGGTGGGTGGAGCTAGTTTGAATCTAGAAAACCTAGGGCAGGTTCCCCATCAGCTACCTTAACCATGAAAGAACCTCAGTATATCTATGGTAGCCTGGTTTTGAGTAACACTCATATTCAGATTTGAGTCCACAAGGATGC